CTGTAGCCCTCCTCTGAGCAGAAAAAGTAAATTGATTTTTATTATTTTCAATTTTGTTTATAACAAATAAAGCCCATTTAGACCCCCACTAAAACCATTTAGCCCCCCCTTAAAATTTCAGCTGTATCCGCCCTTGCCTTGAATCAAAATGGATTTACGCAGGAAAGATGTGCTTGCACGATAGAGGAGGAGCTCGGCATGGCGACAGATTGAAACCTTATTTGTTTCTTCGCCCTCCTAGAATACACAATAGTACGTCAATCAATAGACGGACATGAAGAGAAACTTGAGTTTTTACTATACATTCAAGACATGTTGGTTCATATGTTATAACCCGAGTTAAATATTGCATTTTACAGTGGACTCAGAAGTCCAGGCACAAGACATTCTCCGTAGGGTAGAGATGGAATGCAAAATACCGATCAGACTTAGGTTGAATGCAAAAAATTGAAGTAATGTCGTTTAACATCCCTGCTGAAGTCAAAGCCAGGCTGGACGACTATGCGCCACATGGTGTTCAATTTCTATCCTCCAATGTAGACCAACTCAGGAGAGACACTGGCATGCAATGGGATTAAAACATTCATGCTACACAAACCAACATGCAATCCATCTCTAAATCTACTCGAGAATTGAACAAATGATGATGAAATAGTAGTTGAGCAGGCAWGCAACCATCACATGTTGGTTTTTGTGCTGATGTCACGAGTGACACGCCATATACCTTCCATGCAGAAAAATATTTCTTCAAGATCGAAAGAGTTTGTGTTGGTGACTTTCTCGTGATGGACTGGTGGAAGTGATCTGGAATAACTGAAATTTGCTAATGATGCCCATGTAAGCTTCCCAATTGGTTCCTAACCTAGACTAGAACTAGAAGTCGCCGAGCTTGTTTCTGTAGAGCAATCCGTCAGCAATAAATAAACAATCACGAAAACACTAGCAAGCCAGTTCAATAAATCTCAAAAGTCATTAAGTATTTATCATATTTTAAAAATATAAAACCAAAAATAATAATTAAAGTTAGTTACAATAAAATATTTTAGAATTAGGTAAAAAAATATGTACAATTTATAAGATTTTAAAAACGCAATTCCTTTAAAATTCCTATATACATTTTTTTCAGTTTTGTTGTCAATAATGAGGAAACTTGATTAATGCCTTTACAGCAGTAACAATCTCATCCATCTTTTCTACTCCTACAAGAAAAATTCAAATCAAGGAATTATGGATTGCAATACATGTACTTAATGAAATACCAAAATACGGGACRTRCAATCCAAGTGCAAGAAACTATGGTTCTTTGGTTTTCGTTGAGGGTTAGTTGGAGGATGGTAGGGTATAGCACAGAAGGTGCCAAATAAGCAGATCAACCGGTACAAGAAAGACAGTGATTATGCATGAATAGGGATTGTTCAGTGATGCCATTTTTGCATGACAAAGCGTAAAATGAATTGAAGTCCTCACACCCTTCTTATAGAAGATAAAAATTCCTAAAAGCCAATTTAAAAAAGGCATGTCTGAATACTTTCATGGTTGCAAAAMATAGCAAAAGCATCTCTWGAAGRTTATTTTAACGGAACGACGTGAAAAAGTGCGATAAYTTCAACTCACATCATGTACAAAATTACATCACTGCTCAGTGCCTATTACTGTGCCAAAGGCTGATAATAACGCTGTTTACCTAATATCTTGGAAAGCTCATTAACCATACTTTGGAATGGAGGAAAGAATTCATCATATTGTTCTAGTCTCTGTATYACCCTACATACATGTAATACAAATGGTTAGTGAATCATAGTAAGAAGAGTGAATTTTATCATAATAAGTACTGATCACTTTAAGGTAGAATTTGTATATACTATAAGGGTGTGGTGTTCTGACATGGGTGTTACTATATGTTTCGGTTGCTGCACAAAGTTGCCACGTTTGGTACATTTTTCAATGACAAAAGTCTCCATTTGAGATGGGACTGTTGCTTAGTCTTTATATTATATATTAAACAAAATCACATCTATCATAATTCAAAAACTGTTTGTCCATGATTGAAACCAAAACATAAAGTGGGACAAAACATACTAGGCATACAGTTCCATATGGTGCAATTATCAATCTCTTTCTAAGTGCCATACAGGTGTTCATTGATATGATATCAACATGAGAAAACCCATTTATCTAYTTCTATTCCTTACCCTGACAGATCATCAACTTGTAGTAAATGTCTAGCTTTGCTTAATTTTCCAACAGCATTAACAATATTAGCTGGTTTGCAGCTAGGGTCTGAGGATAAATCAGTAACATTAGGTATTTTTTTTTTTTGTTCTTGCTGTTTGGGCAGGAAAATCATACAATTCAAAGATAATTGTCAGGTGGGAAAGGGAGTGTCGTAATTTTGAAATACACCAGCATAAAAATAAAAATAGATCTTGATCTTTCTTTAACTTCATTATTGGTGATATATCATCATGACAGTGTTTTATGATTCCTGTTTTTTGCAATATGATTCTTTTCTGCCTTTCCCTTTTAAATAGGAACTGAGAAAACAAAATATAACATAGCCTCATTTCACAGGTGTTGCGATTAGTAGTTCAAGATCAAGTTGAATGTAGAGTATCATGGGTATGTAAGAAATCCTGTCAAACGTGAGCCTATATCATGTACCCTTGCAAAACCTTGTCTTCAAATAATTATTTTTGTAGGTTGATAATAATATTTACCAAGGTTAAGTAGTTCTCTCATYGTGTGCATGGCATTATAAACCTCTCCAACCCTTAAATACAGCTCATTCATACGAGGAAACACTCCTGAGACAGTATTTACATCAAAGAGTTTTTGGAAGTGAGCAATAATGCTTTGAAGCTGCTCAAGGCTTGGGCTTGGYTTTTCACTTCCTTGTACATCTTTAGGTCCAGCTCGTCTRTCATGGGAACTTAGTGACTCTACCATGATTTTTAAGTCTTTGACTCTTATTGACTTTTTATCTTTCACTTCAAACTTGCTTTTTGATTCCCATGGCATCAGAGTTGTTGACAATTCAACAATTGCTCTTTGTAGATCCTAAATATACAGATAATTAGTACTAAAAAAGCGCCACATAATGTTGGCTAATTAATGGAATTTAGACAGAGTTAACTGGCAGTGCTTTGTTCATTCTGATGCCAGTCAGTAGATACAATTCCAGAATCATGAACATTCTAAGAAACAACCTACTTTGAGAGATGACAACTCTTTTGCCCACAGCTGTAAAGTTGGTAAAACATCCTGCCATGCTCTTTGACAGAAAACAGCATGTGTATCAACACTTTGATGATGAAGATTGCTTGATGCATGTTTAGAGGTACCATGATTATGAATCAGTGCCAAAATATCTGTTACAAGCTATGTATAAAAGAATAAGTGAATCAAAGTTATTTGATAAATGCTCTCAACATGTATGTACTGGATCTACAAGGTAGTATTGTTATGATGGGGTGGATTTAGTTGTCCAAAATACAAGATTTATCCCACCATGTTTTATCAAAGTTTGCATCGATTTTATCTACACAGTATAATATAATTATTGCTTAAGTGGATTGTGACGTTTATTTTTGTGAAACCAAGTAAAAACTATAACTTACATGTACTAAATGTAAATTTACCTGTTCCATAGATGGAAAAGCTTCTGCCATCAAATCAATAGATTTTAATCTGTCATCCAGATCCCGGAGGTCAAGCACCAACAACTTGGAACATGTCTCCTATTGAACCAATAACAACAGAATAAGGGACTTGACTTAAAAAAAGATGAACAGCCTCATGCAAATAAACACTAAAGGGTATGATAAGATTAGCATAACTACAAATTATTATTACTGACCTTTAGATATTCTCTACAGGCATCAATGGGCAGCAAATCAATATCATCAACCTTACAAATTAAATAGATTGAAAGTAAACATGGTATAATTTACAAATTATATAAATGTATAAATAACAAAGACATTCAAAATTATTGTCCTGTAACCACATTATATGACAGTCATGTAAATATGATGATTACACTACTTGAACCTATCAGCATTCAAATGGCCAAGAAGAAGTAACTCACATGTGTKGAGTATCTTTTAGGTTGAGTTTGTTCACTGGTGTCTTTATCCAAATGTCTTTTTCTCGAAGGTGGACTGAAAGCATTTAGCGATTATATTATTTAACAAATAGATCTCATTTTTCTGTGCGTGTGTACTCTTAGACTAATAGACACACAGATGACGTCAAAATGTAGTGAGAACAAAAAAGTACGCACGAGACGCAGTCGAGTGCGTGACTGTTGTTCTCACTACATTTTGACGTCATCTGTGTATCTATTAGAGTACACATGCACGGAAAAATGAGATCTATCTGTTTTATACAACAAACAATTAGTTTTGACGTAATCCGTGTATCTATACTTTGATAACACACGAAAGCCAACCAATCAAAACGTCTGATTTTACTGAAAAGTTGTATCTGTTTAAACATTTATTATATTATTATGTCTACACGCTACATGCTAGATATGCTCTTTTGCATTTTACTTCAAGATAATGTAAGGATTGATCTAACCAGTATTATCACTTATAAAAATTATTATCAATAATATTGATTAACTATAATTACCATAAATTGTTTTTTGCTAAGATCTTTTCTAATTTTTTGCTGTATTTCTGTGTTTTCTTCCATTCATTTGGCATTGGTCTGTATCAAACAAAATACTAAATATAAGACCCAATAAAACAACATAGTGTCATACAAATGAATTATTGTTTGGTCATTCTGACACATGTCCACGTAGTATTATAAAATTTGTGTGGTTGATTATTTTTGTTAACTCTTTCTGAGTGATCTTTTCTTGTTTGTCCATGCAATACATGCATACTGTACATTTAAATGAAACAGTAGCCTAATTGTCTAAGTGTCTGTCTGTTGTCTTTTTTGCAATGCTTAAGTTTTCAATTTCTAGCATATTTGTACAAATTCAATTGAGTGTACTATTAATTGGACATGTATGACTGCACATTTTCCACTCTTTAAGCAAAAACTGAGAGTTGGAAGACATTACCTAGTTTGAAGTTCCATCTTTAAGTGAGTATTTTCATTTTCAAGAAGTCTGATGAGCTTTTTGGCATCTTTGAGAGATTTTTCATAATACTAYAGTAGAGACATTGATTAAATAACATCAAAACTTAACTAGACAAAATTTGGAAAAAAAAGACACCAAAACAGTGACATCATAAGAGACCTCAAGCAATCTTGTTGCCCTCTCCTTAGATGATAATCAGCAACTAATTATATTCTAACTATTATAAATAATATTTCTAATGATTTACCATCAGTTTGTTTTCAATCTCTTGAACTGGTCTTGKTGAAWGTGTCAGTCCTTTAGGCTTCTCTTTCCTCCATTTGCCCCCAGCACCTTTCTTTGGACCAGTGAGTGGGGAGCGYCTGTCCAGTGATCCTCTGCCTTCATCGGTGGTCTCTCCAGAGGGTCCTTCTGACTCGACTTCATTCATTGGTTGAGGATCACTTTCTACATCACCATAGCAACCAACATATGATGCATTGTGGTCATCTCTTTCTTGCCTGGAGTGAAGTAACATACAATAACATATAGCAATGACATTTCAACTTTTACAGTGTAATTTCCACAGCTTTCCATTTTCTTTGTCAATAGAAAACTTCGTGAAGTGCTTTATKTGTATAAAATATTCAATTACTCTAACTTCACAGAATGTACCAGTATTTTACATGAACATTTACAAACTACATGCTACAAGACAGTGCTTACCTGAGGTGATCAAGTTCTTCTCTCAGTTCCTCTAATTTGGCTTCATATATATCAATTACTTCAAGCAATCTGCAGAAAATATAATCCTTTTTTACATGGACTCTTCATTTCACAAAATAAATCTGAAATTATTGTCAACCCCTTCTATTTAGCATAATAGATGAGGTGATGGTTTCGGCCGCCATTTTGTTCTGGTAGGCAAAGTGTCGCAAAATAACAAGGAATGACCGGGAAATCGATGTCAAATAATTCTCGCTGAATTCAAATTCCGAAAGAATTATCAATTGCAAACGTTAGATACTGCAAAAAGGAGTTAACTTGCAAAATTTGAAAGGCGTACTTGATCTAGAGAGCGAGTAAACTCATTTTTAGTTCTCCATACATTTCTTTGTATTTTTCACGTGCGTCACGCACTGATGACCCCGGAAATGATAACGAAATGTATTGAAATTACAAAGAAATGTATGGAGAACTAAAAATGAGTTTACTCGCTCTCTAGATCAAGTACGCCTTTCAAATTT